GTCAGGTTAGCTAACATACGGTGTATACGGTGTGCTCTTGGTTTTGGGGGTAGATCCCCATGATTCATAGCTTACATACAACATCTAGTGCTCATCCCAACAAGTGCCCTCCTCAATGCCCATCACCCATTTCCCCCCTGCCCTACCCCTCTCCCCTTGGAAAATTCTATAAAAATGTAAAAGACAAAACTGGTTGTCTGGTTTCAACATGGACAGGCACTGAGTTTTCTCCTAGAAAAATTTTAGAACGTGTTAGCTTTGAGTGCTTTCCATTGAAATGGAATAGACTTGTTTCTCTATGGAAGAAATGTGGGGTATGACACTACTTGTAACTTGGGGCTACAACTGTCATTTTAGTATCAGGCAAAATCTATTTCCTTTTGTTTTCCCCTATTTTTTGGTTCATATCCTTCTCTTTTCATTGTGAATATGAAGTGGCATATGAATAGAGGAATAGGAATGGAAAAATCCTGAGAAGTAGATAAGCTTCTTTAGCAATTCTGATCTGTTGGATGACCTGGGGCTGGAAGCTAGGGTGCTTGCCTGGTCATCCTGAATCAGGTTTTGTGTAAATGTGATTTGAACAGGTTGCCAAGGGCACAGGTGCAGGAGGCAAGGGCATTATGGTGTTCTCTAGCTTGTCTTCTTTCCAAAGAGGAAGGATAGGGGTTATCTCAGTATCTAGGAGTCTCATACCCCTTTGGGCGGTAAGACTCACATGTGGAAGAGTCCAGCAGAGTTCTAGGTGCAGGACCTCAAGAACAAACCCCTTGACACTCATTACCATATCTGACACCCACAAGAGCACTGTCAGAAGACATAAAAATTACACATAATAGGGAACCAGATCCTTCTAAGTATAGCAGAAGGACCAAAACCTCCACAGATATTTTCTTTTTCTTTTAAAAAATATTTTCAGGTTTTATAAGTATAGGATCATGGAAATGGAAGTATGCAGATCATAGAATACCATAGGCTTTTAACTGTCAGTTTGATGTTGAGCTTCCTGGGATCAAAGCAAGTTGGGAAACCATCAGTTGCATGACTCATATTTTTAAGGACCAAGAATGCTAAAACTTCAGTGAAACAAAACTTTAAGGGCATAAACTTGAAATTTCCAGATGGGTCTTCATAAATGTTGGTCCTAACAATATCCCTAAAATAGAAAGGAGAGTCTTAGGCAGGGGTGGGGGGAAGGTTTAGCTTACTATTTACTTTGTTTTAGATAGAAAAGAAAACACTCTTAAAAATTGAATATGCTTTTCCTCAGTGCAAATCACTACCTGAGAGTAGGCCAGGCCCTTAATGGAACACACATCTGGGTTCTAGGAGACTCTAATGCACTTTAGAAGTTCTAATAAATTTGCTCATCAGTGGAGAACAGAGCCATTTTCATCATTCTTTTTTTTTTTTTTAATGTTTATTTATTTTGAGAGAGGGCGCAGAGGGGGCAGAAAGAGAGGGAGAAAAGAGGATCCCAAGCAGGCTCCATGCTCAGCATGGAGATTGATTCAGGGCTTGATCCCAAGACCCTGGGATCATGACCTGAGTCGAAATCAAGAGTTGGATGCTTAACCAACTGAGCCACCCAGGCACCCCTAAAAGTTTATTTTTTAATCTATGTCTATGTGCCATATGCCAAGAACTTTTTTACATTTGATATAGAACATTTGATCTTCACAATTGCTGCATTATTACAGATGAAGAAATGGAAACACAGATTAGCTGAATGGTTATTCTTGCCCAGGGCAATAAAAGTGTAAAGGAAGAGCTGGGATTTGAACCCAGGTAATTTAGCTTCTGAGGCCATGTATTTTGCATGTACATGTACGAACTTTCCATGTCCATGTCCATGTACTAACCATGCTGGTTAGTGTTTCTCCAAAGTACTCATTAACCAAGGCAGGCTTTTGTAAGGGAGTGAAATGGACACATTTCAGTTTACAAAATACATAGATTTTCAAGGCATAAGAACTCCAAATATACCCTAATAACGAAGTAAAAAAAAATCTTTGTGTAAGTCATCTTGGAAACTTAATGCATTCTGCTTTTTTTCTTTCCCCCACATGTAGGAAGGATGCCATTTCAGAAAATGTAGGTCCCATTTGAAACGGAGAACAGGATCACATCAGCTAACAATGGTCCTCTTCTAAGTTTTAACTGAAAAGCTTCTCTTTCTAAGATCAGCAAGCAGGCTTAGCAATCCCATCCAACATTCTAAAGCCAGACCTCCTGTGTTTATTAGGCAATGTGGTCTAGTGGAAAAAGCAAAGATTTTGGAGACAGACGCTGGCATTGACTAGCTTTGTGACCTCATTTAATCTCTCCAATCCTTTCTTTTCTGAGAAAAAGACTGTATCTTGTTATGAAGGTTTGAGATAATAAATCGAAAGTGCATGGCTTAGGAGATGCTCAAAACCTGGTTGAAGCTAGTATTATTGTTGTCAACGTGATTACCTGGGTGTAAGGAGAGAGATTAGCCTTTATGATTAGTGATGACAATTTTGTTGTTTGGGCTAATACTATTCAATGAAACTTTATTTGCTACCGATTTCATTTAACATCTGAGAAAGCAATGTGGGGAGACAAGATGGATAAACACCAAGTCTCTGCTCCCAGGAACCTTATAATCCAATAATAAATCACATCATTATAATAGAGTTTGAAAGCAGTTCGGTTTGGTGGAAGAAAGGGCTCAAATAAAGCAATTATGGAAGATGAGGTCATGTCCATTGGGGCATGATGCAGGTCTTGAGTGCCAGGGGGCAGAGTTCATTCGTAATTTGGTAGGCAAAGTCTTGTGGGCAGAAGAGTAACCCCTAAAATCAGCACTTTAATTTAAAGAGCTTAATCAAGTGAAAAAATGGTGGCAGGGAGTCTGACCACTGATATGATCCAGTGCGAGAAGAGCACGTCCTTGAAGCTGGTTTTCCAAGATTGACGGAAGAACGGAACTGGTCACTTGCTTTCTCTTCTGGGGTCTTTTCATGGCTCAGGGAAGTGTTTGGCTGAGGTTCAGGTATTTCGTGTGGACATGGAACAGGGAGAAACTGACTGACTTCCTGGAGGATAAGTCACCATTCGGTGGCACCAAACTACCCAGCTAAGGTATATGCACCCTTGAGTCCACATCTCATCAGATTGCTCAAAAAGCAAAGTAGTTCTCTCTTTAGACCCCCAATTCTTGTGCTTTGGGACCAAATGTCTAGGATTCCAAAATAGCATTTTGATGAAACACCTAATTATATGCCTATGCCTGGTAACAGTTTACTAATGCAATGTAACTCCAATTTTTTTTTAATGATGTTTTTTTTTTAAACATTTATTTATTTTTGAGACAGAGAGAGAGAGAGAGTATGAACAGGGGAGGGTCAGAGAAAGAGGGAGACACAGAATCTGAAACAGGCTCCAGGCTCTGAGCTGTCAGCACGGAGCCCAACACGGGGCTCGAACCCACGGACCATGAGATCATGACCCGAGCTGAAGTCGGACGCCCAACTGACTGGGCCACCCAGGTGCCCGTAAAAAATGTTCTATTTAGAGTGTTGTATCATTAGTATTTTCAGGATTTATTTTAATCATTAATCTTTGACACAGGATAGGAAACAAAAATAGCATTCCTATTGAATGCTAATGTGTCAGTAATTTGAAAAGATTTCCTGTGACTAAGTTAAAAACATTTTATTGATGTATTATAGAATTTCTGCTAGAGAAGCTACATATCCTTCAGTGAGTAGAGAGTGATTTTAAACCTTGGGGATGTGATTCAATAAATAAGCAGAGGAAAGAAACACAAAAGCACGTAAGTCATGTATGTAAGGTTGTTTAGCATAGTGTCTGACAAATAGTAAATGTCCCAAATAATAGATGGTATTATTTTGAAATCCATTTAAATAAAAACATTTTCTTCCCCAATTTATATTGACCAAATTAGCTCATATTATGAACATAAAACTATTACTGCTAAAATAAGCTAAGTGTATTGTAAGTCTGTAGAAATGAGTCATCTAGGATCAGAAAAAACCTTCTCATCTACAGAACAACATATACAATGGTGCTGGATTTTAGGCAAGACAAAATCCTCACTCATTAGCTACAATCACACTTACAATTCTGCGTTTATGAAAGGACGGGGGTGTGCAGAAAGTACACTTACCTATTTTTGGAATGTACTCAGAAGCCAAGGTTAAGATAATAAGAGGCTTCTTCTTAAACTCATTAAAATAACCAGAAAACTCTTTCCTCAGCATCACGATTAATCAAGGCTTACCTAGACTTGAAGCTTTCTTTCATGGCTTTTGGTTCTTCAAAACTTATCATAAGTTCCTTTTTTTGATTGGTGGGGGGCAGAGACTGAGAAGATTGGAAGAATTTTAAAAGATTATCCTAAAATATTCTAGAGCTTCCTAAGTCTCTAAAATAAAAATATGCTCACTGCTCTTAATTCTCTTGTGTGTGTGTACGTGTGTGTATAAAGAATAAAAATAACAACAGAATATAAAACCTATTTATATACAAATTACAATGTGATTGGAACATTCAATGTTTACTATTAAAAGGAGGATTCTTGTTGAGACTGAATTAGAAAGAGTGGTTAACAGGCCTCATCGAATTAATTTGCATACATTTTCTAATTTAGCAAACTGGAGAGAAATCCTCTTCATAGGTTTCTTGACATTTCATGTGGGCGGTTTTACTTGGATGATAGCAAGTCAGTCATTTGATTCCACCAAATTAGGCAGGGTATTAGGTTACTGAAAAGAAAAACAATTAAGAAAGGGGTAAAAAAAGGTGGGGTGCTTGAGGGGACGGACTCATCTGACTGTCCCAAGTAGGCTCCATAAGTATGCAGCTGAAGCATATATTGTAGATTTAGTCTTCATTCTTAATTACCTTTAGAAATTTTTCAATACTTCCCACTATTTTAACAATCTTGTAATTCCTATGTGACTTATAAGGACTCAACAGAGCAGAGATAAATGTTACTTCAAGGCACTACCCAGGACGCATCTGCCATTTTAAAATGGAATAAAAGCTCTCTGGAGATGATATACCTTCTTTGGTGGTCATCAGTGAACCTGCCGGCATCTCCCTTCTCTCCCCTCCAGGCACATGGTAAGGTTGCATCTCCTTGCTCCCTTGAAATGAGGAGTGGCCATGTGACTGGTTCTGAACACAGGGTGTGGCCAACCTGACACGTGTGACAGTGGAGCTTGTGTGACTTGTCAGTGCTCCTTCCCTTGCTGGGGTGACCACTAATGTTACAGAGGGTGAAGGCACCATCGGTGGGGTCCGTGGGTGAGAGCGACAGGAGCAGGGTATCTTGCCAAGCAGGGGTGGGCAGGGAGCATCAGAAAGAAATGAGCTGTGTTACTACGCTGAGCCACTGAGGTTTCACGGTTGTTATCCATCATCCAGCCCGTCCTCACTAATATACCTGCCTCGTCAGGAAAAGAGAATCCAGGTGGTGAGTTTTTTGCAAAGACAGAGAGACGCAATACGCTGGGTGGCACAGTAAAATTTATTTGTCTTTATGATTTACACACAGTAATTAAACACACAAAAGACCAAACACGGTCAAGATGGCCATATGTAGCTTCGGAAATGACTGGTCCCAGATCACACAAACCTTCATTCAGCTTAGAAATGAGTTTCTTTTTAATGGTTTTAATCTTTTTATTCAGTCCCCAAGGCTTGTACAGTTCAGTACAAATGTTTCTGCTATTTTGTTATCGTCAGGCACATGATGTTTACCAATTCCCAGGAAATAAGTGAAATCAACAAAAAAGTCCTGTGACAATTGAGCACGTTTTCACAGGAATAAATTTGATGAGCTTATTACAGTTTGATACAGTTTAGCTATCAGACCTACATATGAAACATGAAACAAATTGCATTTAAGGATTTATTTCTTTTAAAATATTTACCACACTTTTTTGTGCAAGAGTTCCATTGATTTCTTTGGTTTTAAACATTATAGCTCCATGTGATCTAAATATAGTTTTATTTGTACCAAACATCAGGAATAAAAACATTAAACAAAATTTCAGAAGGTAAAAATGGAATTATTGCTTCAGTATAAAAAAATGTCTGGCCCATTTGGGTACTATTGCTATTATTGCTTTGCTTCTATTGGAAAACTATCCTGGAAATCAAGGAATGTACCCCCATAGCTCCCTGCTGAAAGTATAATTTGGTTGTACGTTATCATCTATTATTAATGTGCCCTACCTTCACCAAAGCTATCCTGATCTCGTCCTTAAAAACAAAACAAAGTGAAACAGCATAAATAAATAAGCTTACGTAGGGGATACAATAAATAAGCTACCAGAAATAAGAATAAAGAATATTGTAACATAAAGCCCTTCGGTGCTGTACAATTAAACAATGGCTTCAGATTTTCAAGGTCTCTAAACACAGCTTTTGTTTTATAACACAGTTTTAGTGCTGGTATGCAGCTGACAGATCTAGAGAAGAATACCTTTCTGTTGTTTTCATTACCTAAGAATGAAAACATAGTGGCTATAGTTGTAAATTCTGCCCTGTGGAAATTTACTAGATAGGTACCATTGTCAAATTTGGACCGTTGCCTAGTTGTAGAGCACAAATCTTAGGGATTAAAAAAAACCCAATAATAATATTCCTTCAATTCTTAGTGGTTTCTTGGTCTCCAGAATAGTTATAGAAACAAACAGGGAAGAAATCAGACTCAAAAGTTTTGCTGCCTTCTTTTCTTCGCATCCATTGCATCCAGAATGGGTTGTCTTTTCGCCGTGTATCGTTGACGAAGCTCTTCTATTTCTCGTTCCATCATGGGGTCCAGTGCTTTTAACCGCATCTGTAGTTCTTCTAGACTTAGATTTTTTAACTAGAAACAGAAAAAAGTGAAGATATCAATACAGTATAAAATTATCTACAATAGGCTAAAATCTAATGGGGTTTAGCATGGATATTTCAGCAAACTCTCTACAACGTCTTTGAAATATGGTTCAATAACTAAAACAGGAATTCCTTCACTAAAGAACCAAAAAGCCACGCCTTATAAGAATCTTAAGTAATTCTGCAACAAAAGCAATAAAAAACCCTCTGCTTTTATGGGGCGCCTGGGTGGCGCAGTCGGTTAAGCGTCCGACTTCAGCCAGGTCACGATCTCGCGGTCCGGGAGTTCGAGCCCCACGTCGGGCTCTGGGCTGATGGCTCAGGGCCTGGAGCCTGTTTCCGATTCTGTGTCTCCCTCTCTCTCTGTCCCTCCCCCGTTCATGCTCTGTCTCTCTCTGTCCCAAAAATAAATAAACATTGAAAAAAAAATTAAAAAAAAAAAACAAAACCTCTGCTTTTAGGAAAGAACAAATGAGAAAAATAAGCAGATGAAAAGTATTAGTTTTTTAAAGAAGGGCAGAAAAACAAATCCACCATTGCCAACACACGGACTTTCAGGATATGCTCCGGATATATTCACTCTAACCTCTCACATCCTCGCCAGCTCTGGAGCACTGTCATAATTGTGAACACCTGCAAAGATCACCCAAGAATGTGACAAGATTGAATGCAGGTTAAATTACCCATTCTATCCTGCATTTTACCAATTGCTTAAATTTTAAGTACTTGGTTAATCAAAAAATTAAATTACCTAGAATACTTCTATCCCAAACATTTTGATACAATAAGGTTTTTAAATTATGCCTCAAAATATCCCAAGCCTGATATATTAGTGACGAGTAAATTCTGACCTGCTGGTCAATTTGAGAATAAACTATCAGCTTTTCACCACATACATTATAGTTTGACGATAATGATGTGATTTGACTAAATGATCTAGTTTGACCATAGTGATTCAGTTCAATTACTCTGGCTTCCAGAGACAACACTAGCAATCCTTTACTGGTTTTCTGTATCACAGGAGGTGAGAGGCCTCAGGTCAGGGGGATGAAATCCATTCTACATAACAGGATCTGTGGCATGCTGAGCTTTACTGTAATTATTTATATGTGAAAAAAGCAGGGAGCCTGGATGGCCCAGTTGGTTAAGGGTCCATCCTTGGCTCTCAGGTCATAATATCGCGGTTTGTGGGTTTGAGCCCTGTGTCAGGCTCTGTCCTGATAGCTCAGAGCTTGGAGCCTGCTTTGGATTCTGTGTCTCCCTCTCTCTCTGCCCCTCCCCACTCACGCTCTGTCTCTCTTTCAAAAAATAAATATACGTTAAAATTTTTTTTATATGTGAAAACAGCAAGATATGGATTATCTCCTGAGAAACGTATTTTAAGATGCCCTGAAATATATAACCTAACACTTGGGCTTTATCTTACTAACATTTAAAAAAAGTCTAAAACTTTGTCTCATTCAGAAACTATTAAAGCGATGGTGGCAGGTAAGTGGTTTTAAAAAATCTGTTAAACCACAGTGATTTACAGAATGCTATTACATATTCAGCATCTTGGTAGGTACTGTAAGGAAAGCAAAGAAGCACTGAACTATTTCCTTGCCTTAAGAAACTTGCAAATTGGGGCACCTGGGTGGCTCAGTCTGTTAAGCGTCTGACTTTGGCTCAGATCATGATCTCATGGTTCATGGGTTGGGGCCCACATCAGGCTCTGTGCTGGTGGTGCAGAGCCTGCTTGGGATATTCTCTCTCTCTCTCTCTCTCCCCCCTCCCTCCCTGCCCCTCCCCTACTTGCACTCTCTCCCTCTCTCTTTCTCTCTTAAAAAAAATAAAGGAAACTTGCATATTAGTCAGAAGGGTGAGATCAGCAACTAGAAACATGTGGGACTGACACAAGACCCTACTGCATATAGTACAGATTGATTGCAGTGAGAGGTTCTTAAGTCCATGAATAAGCTTCTCATGTACCCAATTTCGCAGGTTCAGTGTACATTTTCCTGGGGACAAATTCTATTGCTTCTTGCTCTTTTTTTTTTTTTTTTTTAAACAGATTCCCAACAAAAAGAGAGAAGCGTCACTAAGCTGATCCCTTTTAGGGGAGCAGGGACCATGCTGGTCCTTGAAAAGGGGGGTATCTCAGAGATGAGCAGGGCCCTGAGGAGGAAGCTCCACCATGTTGAGGAAGGACTATGGTTGCTGCAGAACCAAGGGCTGGTGGGGTCCCAAGCCAGGCAAAGCAGGGTTTGGACTTTAGGGAATCATGATCTGCTCCACAGCAGGAGAATTCCATGAGAGTAATTCAGACTTGGTCTTAATATGATAACACTTGCAGCAATTTTTTGTTTTAAATTTTTTTTTTTTTTTCAACGTTTATTTATTTTTGGGACAGAGAGAGACAGAGCATGAACGGGCGAGGGGCAGAGAGAGAGGGAGACACAGAATCGGAAACAGGCTCCAGGCTCTGAGCCATCAGCCCAGAGCCCGACGCGGGGCTCGAACTCACGGACTGTGAGATCGTGACCTGGTTGAAGTCGGACGCTTAACCGACTGCGCCACCCAGGCGCCCCAATTTTTTGTTTTAATAAGAGAACTGTCTTTGGTTATTTTATGAGCCAAATCAGAAAGTGCTCTCATTACTTTATAGTCAACATGTCAATTTTAACCAAAAATAGCATTTTTCAGCTTGATCCTCCACTATCCTCACCTTACCTGGCCCTAAATTACTCTTGGTTCTAAAAAATCCATTCTCACTGAAAAAGGTTTGTCACCACTGAGGATACTGAAAAGAATGAGTCACAGACTCTGAAGTAAATTCAAAAGAGGTGTTCCAAAAATATAGGCATGACAGTGTTACGGGAAAGAGTATGTGGGCTCCCAGGATGATGATTCTGAAGGTGAGTACCACTTGCCTTGGTGTATGAAAAGTTCTGGTGTATACATATATAGAATAATATATATATACAATATCCCCTGTCATAAAAAGAAGCTACCTTACTATATCACACCATTAGAGGCATTTATATTATCATGCATTGTATTTTATCATATTCTTCATTAATTTTTAGCCCAAGTACTAATCATGCCACTATTAATATGGCTAAATATGTTCAAATCTCTGGGAGGATAAAGAATAAGCCAATAGGGGACTTCAGAACTTTCTGAACTGGACGAACAGGTGATGGGGGGGGGGGGATGAAGAACCAATTAGACACCACACAGGACCTTGTTTCCCTAAGAAAGATGGGGCACCTGGGTGGCTCAGTCGGTTAAGCGTCCAACTTCAGCTCAGGTCATGATCTCGTGGTTTGTGAGTTCGAGCCCCGCGTCAGGCCCTGTGCTGACAGCTCAGAGCCTGGAGCCTGCTTCGGATTCTGTGTCTCCCTCTCTCTCTGCCCCTCCCCTGCGCGCGCGCTCTCTGTCTCTGTCTCTCAGAAATAAAAAAATGTAAAAAAAAAAAAAAGAAATTAAAGAAAGACACATCCGGGTGCTGTCTACATGAGATCCCATTTCACTTTTGTCTCTTTTTCAGTCCACACTAATCTTCCCATCTCTGAATTTCAATATAACATTCATAATTTAAACAACACA